AATAGGCATGGCGACTATTTTTTAATTTTTTGTCCGTCTTTTAGATATTTTAAAAATCTTCGATACGTATTTTTTCTTTTTTCTCGTATCCAAAAAAACATGTAGATATTTTGAGTTAAAATGACGCGTGACGTCACACTTAGGTACGATTTCTCCGTAAGTGTGACGTCAACACCCCCCACTCCCTAACTTTAATGCGGAATAACTACGTATTCTTCTGTTAATTTGATAAAACAAAAAATACGTGTCTGATATTTTCGTGCGATCTTAATGACGGACTAATTACTTTTTTGATTTTTTTACCCTGTCGACACGCCTATTGCCATAGTGTAGGCGGCGCAAAAAAAAATTTTAAAGAGTGAAAATATTTTTGGCTTTGGGTTCTCCCGTCTGGGTGAGACGGGAGGGAATGTCAGACTCTTACTGACTTAAAACTACCACGTTCCTACTCCTGCACTTCGAGCCGGAGCCCCGGTAACCATTTACGTTGTCCGCGGCCATATTAGGCCCCACCCGCGGTGGTATGATGATTCTTTGAAGCGTACACGCGGGTCTTTTTCTAGTTGGGCGGCGAACGAGGGGCGTTTAGGAGATGCTTGTCTAGGACGCTCTCTACGTTTAACCCGCCTCTGGTATCTGCTCGTTTGTCAGCCTATGCCATAAAAAACATATACATATCCTCATATAATTACTTACTTCTTGGTAGAGGGCGCCCTAGACGGACATATAGTGTCATTTTTTTTTAAGGGGGGAAAATCATTGAATGAGTTCTCCCGCCTGAGTGAGGCGGGAGGGAGTGTCAGACTCTTACTGACTAAAAACCATCCCGTTCCTTCTCCTGCACGTCGAGCCGGAGTCCCGGTAACCCGTTAAGTTCTCCGTGACACGTATAGTGACTAGATTGGCGATATATTAAAGAAGGCCCAAATTAAAAGTACCCTTAACCGACGAGCATGCGTGAAAAGATTGATGACTGTTGATGAAGCGAAAGAGGTATGTAGGAATCGTAGTAATTGGCATTATTTAGTCTCAGCCTACCCCCATGGGAGTCAGGCGTGAAGTTATGTATGTATGTATGTAATTACTTACTTGTCAGTTTTTCGAAGAGGTTTTTTCCGTGGTGTAATGGCCACTCTTCTTTTAGCTTCCTTACGTGCTTCTTTCTTCTGCGCTTCCTCCTTCAGAGCCTGTTCCACTGCCGCTTCTTTGACGCCAGTAGCCGCAGCAGCTCGTTTGTGAAGCTGTGCCATCGCATCCATTTGCTGAGGACCTGACATCTTCTTTAATTCTTCCAATTCTTGGGCCAAATAGTGGTACACTCGAGCTATCATTATTTTTCTTTGATTCTGTAAATTAAAAACGTATTTATAATTTTATAGTCAGTTTTAGTCTTAAATTTAAGGGTGAAAATGTATTATTAATTGTCGCCAGAGTCGTACTATCCTTTAGGCGGCTTAGGCAAACGCCTAGGGTGACCAGTTAGTGAGAGTCGAAAAATTACGGTCTCTGGGTTTAATCTGCATCTATATGTCGCGGAATGCTGCTCAGGACTACGGGCCCTTTCGTGGCTTGAAACTAGTCGGGTTAACTCGTATCTTGTGAAATGAATTTTTTTTATCATTTATTTTATTCCCAGCAATATCCTTACAGAATAATCCAAATCGATATTGAGGTTTCTTATATTTAAATTACAAACTAGATTTTTAACTAACCTACTAACGTCAAATTTCAATAACCTATCTATCTTCAGATTTGCTTACTAGAGATATAATGTTGACACTTTTTGTATGGAGCTTATATCAAAATTCCATCTCTTTACTCGGAGTTTAATTCGATTCCAGATTTGACAATTTCAATGTTGCAACGTTATGACAAGTACTAAATAGTGACGTTGCGAAATTATTCGAAATGGAAATGCAATATTTCTGGATCGATTCTTCTCGTTTATAATTTTACTCTCGTAAACTAAGGATATCAGTAAATTAAATATTTCTGACCGATAATTTAATTTTGACGATTACTTAACGATCTGAGACTTTTCTTTTATAATTGTGTGTGAAATAACTAAAAAAATGTAATCATGAAGGAACATGACAAATAAAACAGATAGATATATTACGGTAATAAGTTATTTTATAAATTGTCGCCGTCATCGCTATCGCTATCCTGTCACTTTCTGTTTTAACACAAACTGATTGTTAATCGATTTTTGTGTTCATCACACAACACTTATATGTGGTATCATTATTTCACAAAATGACAGTAGCTATTGTCAAATCTGGAATCTAATTAAAATTCTGACTATAGTAAGCAAATCTACAGATAAATAGGTTATTGAAACTGGCTGTAAGCTAACCATAATTAAATCTTCTTCATAACTGTGACCAGATCAGTCTGTTACTAGTTCTTTCTTTCCCCCGTGAGGAAAATGTGTGGGTTTAAATAATAAAATTACCTCTTGCCTCTTAGCAGCCGGAGTTTCCACCTCAGTGTTACAATTTGGACAAAATAATTTTCTGTCATTTTCCTTTTTCGCTTCCGATTTCTGAAATTAAACATTATTACATTTAGATTTACAGGATGTAGACTGTAGAGGAACGCTTCCGAGAACACAGACAAACAATTTAATCGTTTTTGTTTTCATCATCAGCCTTGAGCCGTTGAATGCAGCTATTTTTTATAATATTACAGATTAATTCTCCACGGACTCTATCTAACGTCGCGGAGAACCTAACGGGTAACCGGGGCTCCGACTCGACGTGCAGGAGAAGGAACGGGGTGGTTTTTAGTCAGTAAGAGTCTGACACTCCCTCCCGCCTCACCCAGGCGGGAGCAGTCATTCGATGATTTTCCCTCATTAAAAAAGAAAAAAAAAGGTCCGTGCCCTTGTCATACAATTTTTTTTTATTATATTACATCTAGTCAATTTTTATAAAGTAAAGAGGGAGGAGACACACTACAATTAACTACATCTATAATTATTACCAAAAGTACAAATTATATAATAATTAGGCATTATCTACTTATAAGGGCTTCATGAAATCAGCCCACCAACAAGATGGGAGAGCCGACCTGACCCAGCAGAAGGCTGAAGGTTCACGAGTATGACGTGTGTGTCAGCAAGTGGTCGAATGCAGTTATTATTGCATAAAATTTCGAAATTAGAATCCCACCACAGCGTGAATTCCAATTCATTTGTGGTGAGAGTGCCTTCCGTGGATACCGAAGATATTCATGACACCAGAGTTTTGGCCGAAAGGTGTTGTTTTCCTGCGATTTCGCGGCCGGATACCTGACACCCCGCAGCACACGACACGACGCCGACACAGCACAATAGTCGTGATAATTAGTGTTTAAATGACAATGACCAATTTGTATGGAGCGTGGTGCCTTTTCATTTTTTCGCGGCAGTTGATCGGATGCGGAACTGATGCAGAATAACATAATAAACAAAAAAATATATGGAGTCTTATATAAAAAACTCAGTCCGAACCGAGTTAAATCAGTTCAAAGATGTGAAAATAGTGCTATATTATTCCTGTTATTTTGTTGATGGTGACCGTACACAAACACAACGCATATTTGTTTTTTTACTTGTCAAAAATATTTTGTAATAAATGTTTATATGTAAATGATTTCAAGGAATATAATAAAGCTTATTGTGGACTTTTTTTCTTATTTTTTTTTTGTTTGCAATTTTTTTTTTTTGTTATATGGCCTCGAAATCGGAACAAAGTGAACCATTAACTGGCCACTGCTGAAGTAAAAAGAAAAATATTTCGCTTGATTGGCTAGCCGGCTAGCGTGTTCACTTTATATGTTATGGTTTATGGCCTATGACAGAATTTCGTGATCCTGATCAATATCCTCTCAGTCGAAAACCCGCAAAATACTTCACTGAGCCCTATCATGAAATGCTGTTTGTCAGCTGCTGCGTCGGTAGCGGATTGAGTAGGGGCAGTCTTCAAAACAAGAAAAAATCATTTTTCTACTTCTCCCGACTTACTTCCGATTAGTAACTACTCTTAATACTTTAATCTACAGCTAGCCTAAGATTATGTACAAAGTTAATACTGTAATCTACAGCTAGCATAAGATTCTGTACAAAGTTAATATTTTAATCTACAGCTTGCATAAGATTCTGTACAAAGATATAGTCATTCAGTCACAAAGTGATGGATAATATTTCGGCTGATCACATTATATGAAAAAATTATGCGCTCATCTGACGTATAGTCTATCACTTTACAAAGTCGACGGTTTCGTTTCTTCAAAAGATTATGCTAACTTTAAAGTAGATGAGTCTCCCACCAGGATTCAACGGCAAAAAAATAATACTTTATTAGATGTTTGGGCGGCTACCACTACTCAACCCACCACTGGTACCACAGCTGACGATAATGAAGCTTCATGACACAACTCCTAGAAGCATCCCACAAGTTATCGACTGAGAGAAAATAGCTAATAAAAATTAGTGCCTGGCAATATGGATATATTGTGGTGTGATATGGTTATCCTGTGCCCGGCGTATAGTGGCGCGCAATTTGACGTTAGGAATTGTTACAAAAATATGAATAATTTGAATAAAAAAACCAAAGTAAAATGTTTGACTCCAGCTCCTTTCAACGCTCATAGCTCAGTCCAGGCTGAGATTTCCATATATGAGCCCATTGAGCCCCAACAAATTCGTTTGTATTGTCATTCTAGATAATATTTTCCTTAAATCACTGACTGCCGCCAGAAAAAAGAAAGGCACCAATTTTAGTCAATGCCCTTTATTACTTACCTATATTATGTATTTATAGTATTTTAAGGCAGCAAATGGTACTCAAATTAAAACGTATGGGATTAAGTTATTAGTTTTAAACTTTAGATTAAGGAGACCATATCGATGGGATTTCGTCGTCGCCGACGTAAAACAATTAAAATTGAATACTATAGTATTATTGTATTTTAATATGGGCCTTCATTGCCTGATACAAATAAATAAATAAAAAAAAACATTTAATTGTTGTTCCGGGTCTGGGTGTCATGTGTATGTGAACTTGTATGTTTGTAAACGCACCCACGATACAGGAGAAGACTCTTGTGGGGCAAAGTAAAACTTTTCACAATTTTGTCACTCCGGTTGAGACGACCTATTCGTGCCCCAGCATGGCGCTCCCACACTTAACTTGTTCAAACAAACAAACAGTCCAGTTTTATATATAAATAATAAACTATAAACTTCTGTCTGCCCCTATGTATGCTTAGATCTTTAAAACTATGCAACGGATTTTGATGCGGTTTTTTTTAATAGATAGAGCGATTCTTGAGAAAGGTTTATATTTATAATACATACATGTATATTGCACCGTGCGAAGCCGCGGCGGGTCGTTAGTAAACCATAAACTACGTAGTATAAAACAAAGCCGCTATCCGCTGTCTGTCTGTCCCTATGTATATGTATATGCTTAGATCTTTAAAACTACGCAACGGATTCTGATGCGGTTTTTTTTTATAATAGACTAGCTGGCCCGGCAAACTTCGTACCGCCTATAAATGTTTTTTCTCACCTTATAAGCCTTCCCTGGACTCCCACGAACATTTCAATACCAAAATTACCCAAATCGGTTCACCCGTTCTTGAGTTTTAGCGAGACTAACTAACGGAAATTGATTTTTATTTATATAGATAGATAGATAGTGATTTTTAAGAAAGGTTTATATGTATAATTTATGCATATGCCACCCATGCGAAGCCGGGGCGGGTCGTTAGTGAAGAATAAAATAAAAAGTATAAGATATACTTACTCCTGCTTCTTCATCTTTTTTTTTCATGGCTTCCCTCAAACGTCGCCGTACCGTGTCCATTGATATCTATGAAAGACGGATCTTTTTTTTAAATTGCAAAATTGGGACGATGACATGGTATGAAAATTAAAAATGTAATTAGTCCGTAAGTTAGGTAATGAAAAAATATTAGACACGTATTTTTTTATTTTGTCATATAATAAAACAATACTTAGATAAAACGAATCAAAGTTTAGGCTAAAACGTCATATCTACGTATAAAATGTACATAGTAGTGACGTCACGCGACATTTCAAAACAAAATATATCTATTCATTTCTGTAGGAAAATAAAACAGATGTGTCTAATAATTTAATATAATTTGTACCAGACAGATATTAAAATAAAAATTAGGCATCTATCCTATTATGACATTACATGAGACTTAATGCTCTAACCTTCTCTGTGTGAGAAGACACTTTGCTCAGGAGTGGGCATTTATAGGCCGATGATGATATGGCAAATAGGCTCACTCACTATTACATGGGACTCATAACATAAATAGTAAAATGTGGATGTTACATTGTACAGTAGCCTTAAGTGTTGTAATGTGCACCTCGGCCTACCCCTTCAGGGATAAAAGGGTTGTGTTATACTACAAAATATTGAATGGAGTATAATTTACTCACATTGTAACTAGTAGAAGAGACTCGCGTGCTCATGAGTGGGTCGGACGCGTGAGCCGCGACTATGGCAGCGTCCTGCTCCGCGGTGGTAGCTCTCTTGTAAACTTTACGGTGATGAGCTTGCAAGCTACCGTCCTTCTCCCAACGTCTGATCCACAGGTAGATTGTTCTTTTCTGAAATAAAATTTTTATATTCATGCTGTATTCAACATGTAGTAACTTCAATGTAAAATACGTTTTGTCCCCATCAGTTCTAGTAACATAAAAGGTTCACAATCGGACTCGTACTAGACGAGTTAGATTTTGGAGAATATAACATATTCTCCTACTAGCATATTATGCTACCCTTCTGGATAAGTACCCTTCTTGATACTTTATTCGCGTAATAATCGTTTATTTGTGTATTGTATCGTACGTAAAGTAACTTACAGAGTAACGACGTAAATATAACAAATACAAGTACTGTGAATATTTCGAAAATGTTCAGTTTTACAGACAGACGTATTTATTGAGGATTTTGTAATAGGCTTGTTATTGTTAACTTTAATTTTTACTAATCAAGTATGGTATAATAATATATGTTATTCACCGTAATTCCTGTAAGACGACTTATGTCTACTATACGGCAACCACTCTGCCGTAGAGCAATGATGTGCTCCCGTTCTAAGGCTGTAAGCCGAGGCGCCATTTATTTACGACGGCCCGCCGTTCACACGGTTTATATAATAAATAAACAAGAAATAACAAAATAATAATCCAATTTTCTTTTCCCTGCGGATTGACATATAACTTATTGACAGATTTGGGCGTCTCTATAGTCTATGCTGAATAATAGATTATATAAAATAAAAGTATTACACCATAGACGAACTATTAGATCCAGCATAGATGTAAAATTATAGATCCAGACTCCGAGGCACTCAAAGTTTGTATAATTTGTCTATTTAATCATGAAAGTGAGGGCGCCACAAATCATTGCGTGTCATTCACATAGCAACCCCTACACCGCGACTAGAGAATATTGATACTAGCACATCGTTTTATACAAGAAGCAACTAAGAATTACCGATCACATTTTGACTAGTTAATCCAAAATCAAGGAAACAGACACCTATTAAACTATTGTTAAATTGTTGAAATGCATGAAAAGCATCCAATACAAATATAGGGGTGAATTCACCTCTCAATAGGCTCGCCCGTGAGATTAATTTTTTTATAAAATCCTCTCCAGATGTTGACATATATCATGACACCATAAAAGTCTTTAAGACCCGAATACTGGAATCCCCAAACCGCACAACTTAGTTTATACTATGTTCACGACAGAACGAGTTTTCAAGTGTGAGGGAACCATGCTTCGGCACAAATGGGCCGCCTCGACTTCCCCCCTATACTTATAATACTTCCGCGCGCGCCTCAAAGAGCCATCAGACCACCACAGATGGGGCCCAATACGGCCGATGCCGATTCGGAGTCGCGGAGAACCTAACGACGACTCGACGTGCAGGAGAAGGAACGGGGTGGTTTTTAGTCAGTAAGAGTCTGACACTCCCTCCCGCCTCACCCAGGCGGTAGCAGTCATTCGATGATTTTTCCCCCCTTAAAAAAAAAAGAAAAAACACTTATAATACTCTTTGGCCTCGACCGGAAAGATACCACGGCCTCATAAAAAATCGACGTAAAATAACGCTTGTTGTGTTTCGTCGTGTAAGTGAGGTTACTGGAGGCCCAATACCCCCCGCCCCTACTCTTCCCAATGTCCCCAGTCCTAATCATCAAAAGGCCGGTAACGCACTAGTAACGCCTCGGGTGATCCGTGTCCATAGGCGACGGCGATTGCTTACCATCAGGTGATCATTTTACTCGTTAACCGGCTTATCCGGTGATAAAAAAAAGTTGCGGAGAACGTAAGGTTACCGGGGCTCTGGGTCGAAGTGCAGGAGTAGGAACGGGGTGGTTTGAAGTCACTACCTCACCCAACCGGGAGAAGTCATTCGATGATTACCCCACCATAAAAAAAAAACGTAGGTAGAAATTGACATGATTTTTTTTAGTAGAGATAGTTGAAAGGTTGGATAGTAAACACATTCACTTTTTATCTCTTTTTTAACCCCCCACTTCCCTAAAACAGGGCGTAGGTAGAAGTTTCTATGGAACATTTTACAATTTTCAAGGATAGCTACAAATTGGTACACGGACTCGGCAAAAAATCGTGCACAATTCCTTTTTTCTTCAGTAAACTTGTACCCAATCCTTTAAAAGAGAGCAAGCGCAGCCGTGGGCAGAAGCCAGTCCATAAAAAAGAATGTATTCAGTTCATTGAATTCGTATTTTTTCTTTAAAATTCTTGATCCTGATGCAGCTAAATACTACCATTAGTCCTTGAAAACAGTTTTCTTGACAGTCAAAGGCATAATTTAAAGAGGGTCTGGTACTATTCTCACACATCGTCACATTATTAAAATATTCACTCGGTTCTCTTTATCAATATATAGCCTGTGTAGTATGCCTATGCGTCAAGGATAATGTAGGAGTCCAGTCGTTTCGGACCCTATTCAATCCAAACAATCAAAACTTTATTATTAATATTATGTATGTCTTTACTATTCACGGGACTATATGGTTGAGGAACGGGAAGCATACGAGGGGCCGAGGCCAACTATGCATAGGCCCTTCAGACAACTTTAATCTATGTTTTATAATAACTATCGTGGGACATACTAAATTACCTAAAAACCGCGAGTTACTCACGTGAATATACTGAGAAAAGCTCTACTAGTTTCAACCACAGAGGGGTTCGTAGGCTGCGCGACATCGCCGCGACCGCGCACGCTGCTCATGAGGAAGAAACCCTCTGTGGTTCGAAACTAGTAGAGCTTTTCTCAGTATATTCACGTGAGTAACCCGCGACTTTTAGTTAACTTTTAATCTATATATAATGGGCACACAATCCGGCGACTATCCCTGTAAGGACTATGGAACTGCATCCAAGGACAGTCCCCGGTTAGTGTAGAACTATTGTGGATAATGGAAAAAAAGGTAGGGCTATGGATGGGTTGCTGTGGATCAATAAATTGGAAACTATGGAAGACTAAGGATGAAAAAACACGCACAAATTGATTGAAATAATCATAGAATTGAATCCGAACATATTCGGATGACATTGCTACTTTGATTTTAATATATTTAATTTTAAAATATAAAATAAATCTTACAATAAACATAATCTTATAAAGCTCTATATAATAACTAATTAACGCGAGTAGTTCACTTGTGGTGGTGGAAACATGTTCATGCCCATATTCGCCAGCATGTAGGGACTGGAAAAAAAAACAAATAAAATACATTTACCTATATTAAAAGTTTCGTGACATATGCTACATTAATTAATATGTACAAAACGTCACGTAAAAAAATCGAACCAACAAAACTATGTAACTATACTCGGAATTTTAATTCGATTCCAGATTTGACAATTTCAGTGTTGCAACGTTATGACAAGTACTAAATAATGACGTTGCGAAATTATTCGATATGGAAATGCTATATTTCTGGATCGATTCTTCTCGTTTATAATTTTACTCTTGTCAACTAATTATACCAGGAAATTAAATATTTCTGAACCGATAATTTAGTTTTGACGATTAATTAACGATCTGAGACTTTTCTTTTATAACTGTGTGTGAAATAAATAAAAAAAATTAATCATGAAGGAACATGACAAATAAAACAGATAGATGTATTATGGTAATAAGTTATTTTATAAATTGTCGCCGTCATCGCTATCGCTATCATGTCACTTTCTGTAACATTTATTATAAAACACTTACACTGATTGTTTATCGATTCTTGTGTTCGCGATCGATTATCGATTTTTGTGTTCATCACTATACTATTATATGTGGTATCATTATTTCACAAAATAACAGTAGCTATTGTCAAATCTGGAATCTAATTAAAATTCTGACTATAGTGGATTGTGTTGTGAACCTGATTGAAAAAGAGTAACCTATGGAGTTTCTTGCTCGTTCTTCTCCATAGGAATGTACACCTTGGAATGAGCAAATAGCTTCACTTTTAAATTTTTGTTGTTGACGTTCAAAAGTGCCTTCCTGAGGCCTTAGTACGAGTTTGTATTACGTTTAAAGTATTCGAAACGAGTACGCGTTCGGCACTCAGAGGCCTTAGTACGAGTTTCATTTATTGGATTGGATTGGATTGGTTGGTTCATTGGCCGGCGCCAATGAACCAACCAATCAGAGCACCGAACGTGTACTCGTTACGATTACTTTAAACGTAAAACAAACTCATACTAAGGCCTCTGATTGGCCGGCGCCAATGAATCAACCAATCAACTGAACGCGTACTCGTTACGGTTACTTTTAACGTAGTACAACTCATACTAAGGCCTCAGGTCTAATTGAAATAAATGATATTAACTTTTAATTATCTGATGAGGAACTTAGTTCCAAGCCATGCTGGAGGCTTATATTCAAGAGCAGCATTCCGCGAAATGCGACGCGGCAGTTGTCGCAGTGCTACACTCAGCAGCTCATGAATTATGTACTCGCCAACTAGTCTAATTCAATACTTTTTTCGAACTGTCAAAAACGACAACTTTCTATGAAGTTTATACGAGATTGTGTATTGTGACGTCACGTTTTTTAAGCGTCAAACAGCATACATAATCCTTAAACATTTGTTAAAAAAATACTAAAATTAAGTTGGTGATAAAATCAATGAATGAAAGTGTGATTGTTTTTTTTTAACTCGTCGAGTACCGGTTTTGTAGACACAATTATAGAACAATAGGTTGCGGTCACCGGTGACCGCTTGGTGTTTGACAGTTTAATATTGTACTGTATTGAACAGTCGAAATAATTTATTTTTGATTGACGAAAGTACCCAGTTTTAGTTTCTAGCATGGCATGTAATTAGTCCAGTTCCTCGTCAAACAGTTACGTGAGTAGGTAACTCGGAAACATAGTAATTAAAATATGGTCAAAATTATTACAATACTAGCTTCTGCCCGCGACTTCGTACGCGCAACCCCGATATTTCCCGTTCCCGTTCTTGATTTTCGGTAAAAAGTAAAAAAAAAGTATTGGGTAAAAAGTATCCTATGTCCGTCTCCTGGTTCTAACCTACCTCCCCACCAATTTTCATCCAAATCGATGTACCCGTTCTTGAGTTATAAATAGTGTAACTAACACGACTTTCTTTTATATATATAGATAAATAAAGTACCCTTTGTACTTTAATATCAAACTAGCTTTTGCTAGCAGCTTCGTTCATGCAATAAATAGTCTACATCTGTTCCAAATTTCATATTACTCGCCCCTAGAATTTTCGAAAGTTCCCCTCGGTTTCCCTAGGATCCCATCATCAGATCCTGACTTCATGGAAATGGGACCATCTCGGTAGTATACCCATACAAACAAAACAAGAATTTTGGAAATCGGTTCACAAATGGAGGAGTAATGCGCAAACAAACAAAAAAAAACCAGCCGAACATAGTACCTCCTCCTTTTTTTGAAGTCGGTAAAAAGAGAAGGTTCTAATGACAGAAAAAGTCCTGAAAATCCTACGGAAACGAGAGAAAACGGGATTGCGCGTACGAAGTCGCGGGAAGAAGCTAGTTTATAAATATTAGTAAGATTAAGATTCGTAAAAACGTTTTGATAAAACTCACTTGTTCATGGCTTGAGGCTGAAAATTAGGCATATTGCTTGCTAGGTTAGCTGCCGTCGTCGGATCGATCTTCAGTTGCCTGTGAACAAAATAAAAACGATCACATAAAATCTATTAATGAAAGTGTGATTATTTTTTACTGGCTACTTCCGCGCGGTTTCACACGCTCTGCTTAGCTCCTATTGGTCGTAGCGTGATGTTTTATAGCCTATAGCCATCCTCAATAAATGCGCTATCCAACACAAAAAGAATTATTCAAATTAGACTTGTAGTTACGGAGATTAGCGCGTTCAAACAAAAAAACAAACTCTTCCGCTTTATATAATAGTATAAGATAAGACAATTATAATGTATTGAAGAGTCGAAATAATTTATTTTTGATTACGGAAAGTACCCAATTACTTAAGTAACCGGTGAGGTGAAAGAAAGAAAGAAAGAAAGAAAAAAACATTTATTTGGCAATTACACGCACAGAAAACAAAGAATATAAAAAATAAAAATACATAATATAAGTAAACAAAATACTAATAATAAACTTACAAGAATACAGATCAGAACAGAAAACATCACAATATAACAAAATAATAAAACGATAATAATAGAATTTTTAATAAACAATAAAAAAAAAAAAAAGCAATTTCTAATAAACAAAATAATAATATTAATTTGCGCGTGCTAATGCCAAAAGGGCCTCCACCTCAGCATATGGTTGGACGTTTGTGCCCAACGCTGGTTTTCAGGTGGCACCCTGCAGTGACTCACGGACGGCGGTGCCGCCCCTCAATGAGGACAGAAAATAAACATGAAATTATATAAATTTTGCTGAAATGTGCATGTGTGTGTGTGTGTGTGAAAAATTGTGAATAGAATAATATATATATCCGATAGTACATGTATATACATACAAACAAAATGTAAAAATATAGGTGATGATGCAAAGTGGGAGTTCTATATAACAACCTTTATCTACACCTAATCTGGGGCTAAAAAACGTGACGTGTACGCCTCTTTTAGTAAAATAAAGCCAAAGAGAAGTTATACAACATACTTTTAAATAGTAGTACACCTTTTTATTGAAATCTAGCCACCCGCCCCGGCTTTGCACGGGTGCAATATGTATGTATTATTATATACTTCAAAACCTTCCTTAAAAATCACCCTAGGTATCTAATAAAAATACCCGCATCAAAATCCGTTGCGTAGTTTTAAAGATCTAAGCAAACATAGAGACAGACGGACGGCGGATCGCGACTTTGTTTTATACTATGTCGTTTTAAGTAAAACTCAATACTTAAATACTGAAAAGTTTATTATAAACGGATTCTTTTAAGAACACAGCGCTATGCTCTTCAAACTTCCCACCAGAATCGCGCGTCACTCCACTTTGCGCGGGAAACTTTTTTAATCTGTCACATTTGACAGATGACATCGTCAATATGACAGCTAGTGCTGTCGATAACATAGTGCTTATCCAAATTCATAAAAGAAAATAATATTAAAATATAACGGTGTGTAATCATGTAAATATTGTGTGTTATGATTGTTTCTATTTAATTATATATCTGGTGTTAGGTAATAATATTATAATTTTAGGTCTATTGACATTTGACGGTATATGTGTACTAACCCAATTGTTTTTGTCCTTTTCAGCTACTAACAACTAAAAACTACCGCAAAGTTAAAAGTCGACGGTGCATTAATCTGCCGTCACCACTCGACACTGGCAGTATAGTTGACAACATCGTGTTGGAGACTCGGTTGCCAAAGAAAAAAAAAAAACTAGTGACGTTCATTTAGTTTATTTTCGTCGTCTAACAGTAGTGATAGTGATTTGAAGGTACCGATGACAATATAATGCTACTTACTTATCAGTCTTTCGAATAGGCTTTTTCCGTGGCGTAAGGGACGCTCTTCTCTTAGTTTCCTTACGTGCTTCTTTCTTCTGCGCTTCCTCCTTCAGAGCCTGTTCCACTGCCGCTTCTTTGACGCCAGTAGCCGCAGCAGCTCGTTTGTGAAGCTGTCCCATCGCATGCATTTGCTGAGGACCTGACATCTTCTTTAAGTCTTCAAATTCTTGGGCCAAATAGTGGAACACTCGAGCTATCATTATTTTTCTTTGATTCTGTAAATAAATTAAATACGCTTTTATACTTTTGTGATCAGTCTTGATTGAACCCTGTGATTGTCATTTTGACAGAAACCGTATAAAAATAATCGTTTGTCGCTTAATTCTGCTCATAACTACAGGCCCTTTCGTGGCTCGAAACTAGTCGGGTTAACTCGTATATTGTCAGATAGTTTTGTGAGTAATCTGTAAAATGAAATTGAGTCCTTTTCATAACTGTAACCAGATCACTCTGTTACTGGTTCCTGCTTACCCCCGTTAGGACAAAAGCGTCAGTTTAAATATAAAATTACCTCTTGCCTCTTTACAGCCGGAGTTTCCACCTCGGTTTTACAATTCGGACACAATAGTTTTTTCTCAGTTTCTTTCTTAGTTTCCGAATTCTGAAATAAAATAAAGAAATTATATTAAACTAGCTTTTACCCACGGCTTCGCTCGCGTCACAAAAGGATAAAAAGTAGCCTATGTGACATATACCAATACACACAGCGCCGTCTATACCAATAGTTTCGTTTTCCCTTGAGAATATTAAATTTTTTCGGGATAAAAAGTACCCTATTATTTAATTCAGACTTCTAACTTTACGTCTGCAAAATTCAAAGCAATCGGTTTAGTAGTTACGGCGTGAAAGCGGAACAAGCAAACAAACAAACAAACTCACTTTCCAATTTATAATATAGTAAGGAAATCTTACTAATTAAAATCAATAAAATCGTAGGAAAGTTAAAACTGTACCGCGGTAATAGTATTATCATACAGTATTGTAACTCGGCCGCACGCCAGAGTTAAATACCTTTTTTTTTGCATATTTATTCATTGAAATTTTTATAGGTATTGCCTTAAATCTAAACTCGCCAAACTTTAACGTTTGATGGCGAGAGACGCTCATTTTACAAACTATTTCTATTATTATCATAATATGATGGGAGTCTTTTTTTTTCCTTAACATAATTATAGGTAGGTACCTACACTATAACCCAAGCAGGACATAGCAAGTATGTGTTATACCACCTGCATTGCTTATATTGAATAGAAACAAAAAACAATACCGACACAATAACAACCTCTTTTTACTAAAACACTGAGTAATTTAAAAAAAAAAAACTACAGCCGCGCGGTACGTAAACGTGGGTTAGGGCTGCCCGTCTCCAGTATTTTAATTACATTTGCCTACTTTCTGTTTCTATTTAGTTTTGTGATAGTAAATATCCTTTTTTTTTGTATAAACAAATAAAATATTTTGTATATTGAATAGGAAGTGTTCAATGTGTTTTTGATTAGTAGATTCACTTAAAAAAAAAAATGTTTTTGTTTGCAAAACACATCGGGCTTATAAATTTACGACCGAAAAATATTTGCAAATAAAAAATATACCTATAAAACGGTAGACGACTAATTTTTATTTTAATGTCCGTCTGGTAGATTATTTTCAATCATTACACACGTATTTTTTATTTTCTTACAGAAACGAATACTTTCCACGATATATTGATTTGAAATGTCGCGTGACGTCACTTTTATGTAAATTTTATACGTAGAAATGACGTTTTAGCTAGGGTTGCCACCCGTACTTTATAATAAAGTATTGTACGTTATTTAAGGTAATTGTACTCTATACTTTATAAGAATAATAGAGTACACAAAAATACTTTATTTTTGCAAACTTCATTTCTATTAAAGTCGTAAGTATTTTTCGGTAAACTTATCGATTTGATATTGATATTTATCGATTTATGTTGAATCGATACTTGCCAGCGCCACTTAGACAATTTCTAGTAAAGATGCAATTGTCTAGTATTTCAATGCAATTGTTTAAAGGTACTAATTTAATACAAACTGCAAAAAGCAATAAAAATATTTTTAAATATAATACTAAATAAGAATAATTTGTACTTTATTTTTGTACTGTGTACTTTTTTTTCTTACCTATATTCGTCAGTGTACTTTAAATACCAAAGAAAAAGGTGGCAACCCTAGTTTTAGCCCCCACTCCTAAACTTTGATTCGTTTTATCTAAGTATTGTTTTATTATAGGACAAAATAAAAAAATACGTGTCCAATATTTTTTAATTACCTAACTTACGGACTAATTACATTTTTAATTTTCATACCCTGTCGTCATCCCAATATTACTTAATTACATTCACAGAAATGCGACAATTACATATATAATTATACTACTTCCGCGCGGTTTCACACGCTCTGCTCTGCTCCTACTGGTCATAGCGAGATGTTGTATAGCCTATAGCCATCCTCGATAAATGCGCTATCCAACACAAAAAGAATTATTCAAATCAGACTTGTAGTTACGGAGATTAGCGCGTTCAAACAAACAAACAAAAAAACAAACTCTTCCGCTTTATATATGTAGGCTCAGGGTCCGACATTATTTGAAAATAAAACAAAGAGCTTCACACAATCACTTAGTTTATTTCGATTAAATGAACTTACTTTCACATTAATTTTTAATTATAATAATTGAATAATTCAGCACTGATTATATAAAGGAAACACTCAAATAAAACCAACAATAAAATTACTCAGCGATTGCGTAACGTGTGAACTGGGCAACGATCGACGAACGACTGACTCGAGCTTGCGCTTGCGCTGCTTTATATATCACTCGGTGGTGGGGTTGAAGTGACGTCGGTCAGTTGTTTGTTCACTGCTTGCCCATTACATTTGCAGTTTACAAAATAATACGGCGGCGCCGTCATATAATAGTTTAAGAATAAGATTTCTTTCAATTTAATTTTATTTTATTTAAAAGGCTTTATGCCTTTAATGTAAAAGGTGGGCTTAATGCCATGGGCATTCTCCTCCAGTCAGACCTTTGGGTGATGCAGAGACAAAAATAATGGTTTATGCAAGAAGCCAAGCAAGCATCCAAGATCATCTTTAAGGGGTAAAATCATCGAATGACTGTCCCCGCCTGGGTGAGGCGAGAGGTAGGAGTGAGTGTCAAACTCTTACTGACTAAAAACCACCCCGTTCCTTCTCCTGCGCTTCAAGTCGGAACCCCGATAACCCGTTAGGTTCTCCGCGACTCCTAATCGGTATCAGCCCTGTTAGGCCCCATCTGTGTTGGTCTGATGGCTCTTTGAGGCGCGCGCGGAACGCTCGGCGCCGTACGCTCGGGTCTGTTTCTGGTCGGACGGCCATGCTCGCCGTCCGCAGGCCCGCGCTTACGATGGCCGGGTATCCAAGAGCTATGACCAAGATAAATACATATAGTAATATACTTACTCCTGATTTTTCATCCTTTTTTTTAGTAGCCTCCTTTAAACGTCGCCGTACCGTGGCCATTGATATCTGTAAAAGAAAGAAAATTTCTTTAAATCATAAAAAAATACTAGCATTCCCCCCGTGGTTGCACCCGCTCTGCTCAGCTTCTATTGCTCTTAGCGTGATGTTTTATAGCCCGTAGCCTTCCTCGATAAATGCACTATCCAACACAAAAATATTTTATCAAATCGGACCAGTAGTTACGGAAATTATTCAAACAAACAAACAAACACTACAACTTTATATACATACTAGCGACCCGCCCTGGCTTCGCACGGGTGCAATACACATGTATTATATACATATAAACCTTCCGTTAGACAGAATCACTCTATTAAAAAAAACCGCATCAAAATCCGTTGCGTAGTTTTGAAGATCTAAGCATACATAGGGACCGACAAACGGCGGATAGCGACTTGTTTTATACTATGTAGTGATACTATATTATAATAGTATAAGAAGGCTTCTTGGCGATTCTCACATTGTAACTTGTGGAAGAGACTCGCGTGCTGAGGTGTTTGTCTGAAGCATGAGCGGCAATTATGGCAGCGTCCTGTTCCGCAGTGGTCGCCCGCTTGTAAACCTTGCGGTGATGGACCTGCAAGCTGCCATCTTCCTCCCACCGTCTTATCCATTGGTAGATTGTATTTCTCTGAAAAAATAACGTTTATTGGTTACACAGACTGCTGAGTATAGGCCGTATTAGAGTAGATGACTAATTTTTATTTTAATGTCCGTCTAGTAGATAATTTAAAAACATTAGACACGTATTTTTAATTTTTTTTTACGGAAACGAAAGTGACGTCACTTCTATGTACATTTTATACGTAGAAATGACGTTTTAGCCGCCCGCTCTTATCTAAGTATCATTTTATTATACAACAAAATAAAAAAATACGTGTCTTATATTTTTTCATTACCTACCTGATGGACTAATTACATTTTTAATTTTAATACCCTGTCATCGTCCCTTTTAAAAGAAAAAAAAAACAAAAATCCAATAACAAGTTTGCATAGACTACAATACATTTGTCAGTATCACTACTCTAGGCACTGGTGTTGTAACATAAC